CTCCATTAAAACAAACAAACAAACAATCCCAAACAAATCCAACAAAATCCACGCACATTATCAAAGCTGCTATTCATACTAACCAGGATCTGGCCTACTGTCCTTGCACTGAAACATAGTCATTGCTTCCAGATTCAAAGCACATACACCACGCATAAAAGCTTTCTTCATGGTGTCTTCATACTCATCTCTGTCATTGTGCAGTCGCAAAATCTCAGTTTTAGACTGTTCCAAATTAGCAACTAACTGTGAAACAGAATGAGGAATCAGTTCTCTAGTACTTATGAATGAAAACTGCAAACATATTCATCAACTAACTTAAAAAAATTACTATTTTACAGAAATAGAAATTTTCACTTAAAAATCTGTGCTTCACCAGAGATGAACAGCTCATTGTAGTTTCTTTGTACTACAGCACAGTATTAGTACTAGAGCATATCAAGAGTGTATTCAAAAGGACTTCAGGCCCTACCTAAGCAGCTAAGCAGAAATACATCTTGCAAGCTTTTGTCTTTTAGACATTAGGCACCCAGCACAACCTATATTTCTGCAGAAACATGGGTTCATTCAACAGAAGAGCAAGTGTTCTTGGGCATTTATGCAAGTGTAGGGTAAATTTTCATTACCAATAGCTCTCCTTTAGGTACTGTAAAAAACTAAAAATGCTGAAAAAGAACAGAACAAATTGCAACTTACGGTTTTTGTGCTGATAAGACACATTTGATCAGTCTATTCTTAAAATTCTAGATTTAATTGCTTGTTGAAATACAAAGCTCTTAAAAACATTAAAACTGATTTCTTAGTATGCACCAATTCACAGGTTGACAATTTCACCTTAAGCTCTGAAAACTGTTAAACAAGCTTAATTTACAAGCTGAGGAAAAATCAACTTAATATAAGTCTTTAACAGAGTAGCTATTACAGAAAAAAATATCATCAGGATCATTTGTAATGGTCTTCTATTTCCATTGCCTTCTTCATTAAGACCTCAAAATGCACAGCCCATATTAACAGGATGCTGTTAGAAAACAAATGGCATTCCTATGGGTGGGCAGAGATATGCCCCATCTCAGAAAAGTCCAATTGAGTTCACCTCTGCATGCAGATCAGCAACATTTTATATCAGATGCATGGGAAAAAAGTCATCTCCAAATCAACATAGATCTTAGACTCTTGTACTTTGGGAGCTCTGTTCTGCTGGAAGATACCCATGCTTGTTAGGTTTGCGGAGAAAAATATACTTTGGAGGGAGAAGAATTTGGAGTGAAGGAGCAAAAGAAGGAAAAAAAAAAAAGATTGATTTTACCTCTGCAATTTTGGCTTCATAATCATTGGTGAGCTGAACACAGACATCTTCTGCCCTTAACTGACAGGCTCGTGCTACTTTCTCTTTCCATTTTGCTTGAGTAAGAGAACGCCATGCTGTCCACACTTTCTTCATCAAAGCTGTCTGGAAGTGCCTGTCTGCTATTCTATTTGCATATTCCTTAGGAAGTAAACATAACCACATCAYATGAAAGTTCAGGATTAATAAAAAAATAAGTAAGTATTGCAGTGTGGGTGATTTACAGTCTATTACACAGACCATGGAAGGTACCGTTAACTGAGTTGCAGGTCCTGCAGTGAAATGTCACACAAGCAGCACCAGCAGCTCTGTGTTGCCTCTGCACAAACGCCATCACACATTACTGTCCCCACCAYGAGAAACCATATTTGTGAACTCCTAGGCTATAACACTAACATATAACCATAACAATGGTCTTACTCGTAGTTTAATAGCACTCCAACAATAACCTCACATATATAGTGTAAACACACATATGAAGCTGTTCAGTGGGTATGTGGCACATTTGGATTCACTGCAGGAATCATTTAAAACCTGCAGTCACAAAGATTGCATATGGTTAGCATAAAACACCTAMCTTTTAAATAAATTTAAACTTCAGGATTGTCTAAAAACTATTTTAAAACAACTTGCTATTCTACTCTATTTCAACATAGTCAGCAGACAATGGTTTAATTTTTTCCCTATTCCAGAGAGTATTCTGACAGCAACATTCTTTTCAGAACWCATCTTTTCAAACTGTTACTTGACACTGTCAAACACATCAAAATAGAAACACTGTAATTCCTTCAAACTACAACAGGAACTGCAGGAGCTCTGACTCTTGAGTTCAGAGGTTTCATTCTCATTGCATTTTTAATTTGTCCACATACCTCTTGTTTGGCTTTAACATGCTGAATCCGCCATATCGCAAAATTTCTCATCAACGCTACTCTCTCCTTTTGCTTGTCTAATGATTTGGTCAAGGTAGTAATTACCTGAAAAAATATTGTTCAATACTATTTCAATAGCTACGATCTCTGTAAGGTCAAACAGAATGTACTTTATTTCTCAGTTACTTTCCACTTAAAACGTTTGCTTTACACACATGCTTTCCACTGAAACTTCCCCTTACTCTAATCAAATACTAATCAGAGTTCAAATCAGAAGTAAAAAAAAAACCTGTGGTTTTAAGACTCAGATTGTGGCACTTTCACTGCATAGTTTTAGGAAAAGTTTAATTGAATTGCTATTTCCTCCTACATTTGCTGGTTTCTGAGCTACTTTTCTTAWACATTATAATTAAATGTTACTGTAGCATAACATCAGAAGACTTTTATTTCAAAGAGAATWTTGATAAATCAGAAACATTTCTATTAGAATTTGTTACACTTACCTGAACAGAAAAAACAAGCTGAGTTGTTGCTATGAACTAGAAAAATATCATTACACATTGTTACACTCTTTAGAAGTTCTTATGAGAAATATATGTCTAAAGCAAAACGTTTGAGAGGCAAGATGTCCTACTGGACAGAGACTGCAACTGTGGACTTTTACCACCAAACTCTAAATTTAATGAGTATAGATAAACATCTGAGACTCCTAAAATAAAATTTAGGCCAGGTATGATACAAGTTTGGTACACCAAGCCTGAATAATTCCCTATATTTCTGCCTAAGTTCTTAAGCCAGATTTTGCCACCAGTCACATACAAACAACTCCAACAGTCAACAGTGACCTACCTTGGGACTTTGGGGAATAATGTAAAGTTATTTTAACTACTGCATAATGATTGTTGAGAACAACGTTTTATGATAATACATGCTACCATATGTTAACATTATATTGCATTTGCTACAAGTAATAATCATTGAACATAATCAATGAAATGAATGATACTTAAAATAGAAAGCAAATTAAATTGATCTGTTAATTACTTTTGTTGAGTAAGTGTCATATACTAACATAAAAATCAATTTTTGATGCTGCATACATGGTGATATACATTAGAAGTCTTGGCCCGAATCTGTTTTTGTTAATTAGCATAATTTTGCAAATAAAAAACATTTATGAGATTTACAATGTGAAATCAGAAACCATAACACTCGTAACATTTGTGAGGCTGAGGGACTTTGGGTTACATTCATGTGAGGATAATGCAGTTGTGGTAATTATGGAGTGATATAGAGAAGCATGGAAGCACTGGCATCTTCCACTCAGGTGGTAGCAATAGTAATTTTCTATTCAAAATATTTTTTTCTTAAAAATATAACTATAAAATTGGAAGAAATAATTTCTCTGGCAGCAGAAAAAAAATAGAGCTTTCAAGATATCATTGAGAATYATGGCACATTAAGTATGACTGACATACAATGATATCCAACAAAATTAGATGTTTTAATGGTATAGGCTGAAATTACCAGGCACATAGGTACTTGTTACATTGTACAAGACTAATCCTGTACTTGTCATGTTACAACATTTACATTTGCTTGGTCTGTAASATTAGTCTGTTTTCCAAATGGACACAGATCATCTTCATTCATATTTTAACTCCAGCAATGCATGGTTTTTGARAAGGTAAACAGGAGGTACAAACCCAAACTCCATTCAGTGTTCTCAAGTGCTAGGTTAAATGTTCAGGGTAGCGRTAAGGAGAATCAATTATGTTATGTGATTGCAAAACTGCCAGGATTTTATATCCACTTTCACAGTGTTAGCTAATTTTGAAGCTGTTTACATTATCGACAGCAGAAAAGTGTAAATCAGACACTCCAAATGTCCAACTGTAAGAATACCTACAAACGAAAAATTCCTAAGAATCCTAAAATAGAGGCTCTTCTACATTTAGGAGATTGGTTTTCCTGAATTTTAAATGGGCAGCAATCTAATAATTGAAAATTTAGAGGCTTTGAAAGTGTAAGAGCTAATAGACTCACCTAAGCCTGTGTGATCTTCACAAAGTAAATAAAAAATGAGTAGACCCTAGATTTAAGAGGMAAACAATGCAAAGTGTGTACATATAATGTATTTTCATTGTTAGTATAGACAACCCTATTAGAACAATGATTATTTTTCTACTATACAGTCTGAATGTATTATTTACTTCTCCATGTTACTTACTTCAAAAAAAAACTTTTTCAAAGAGGTGGGTCAAAAAATTCAGTGTGGATATTTTTAAACAGAGAGGAACTGTTAAAATATGAAATTGAGTTACTACCTCGTCTTTCCTGCTAATAGAGATTTCGTAAGTATGAAGTAACTCCTTCAGGTTTTCTATCTCATTCTGCAGTTGTTTCACATGCGCGATATGTTTCTCCTTCTCTTGTCTCATTTGAAACTTATGATGTTGAATCAAACTAAGTTTCCAATTTTTCAATTCAGTCAGAATATTTGTCTGAAAATTTAAAAGGATGACAGTAATGCAATTAGTTTAAACTATTCCCTCCTCCCTATTATTTTAAGCTTAAAACACAATGTAATTAAGGAGACATGAATATTTACAGTGATAGCTTCATTACACAAGCTGTCTATAGCTATAAATATTACTAGACTATTGAATCATGATATCTGAACATCCCTAGTGGAGACTGTTATTCCAAAGTTTTTGAAATAAGCTATACTATGCTATATATGCGTATGTGCAATATGCAGCAACAACAAAAACCACTCYTCTCCCAGCAATCATACTGCAACTTCTCCTGCATTTATTCTATTATACAAYGACACTCATGAATGATTTTTAAGGATTCCATACAATATAAATACCTTAAGGCTTCCACTCCAGAGATCAAGTATGTTCTCTATTTGAGTGAGCGTTTCATCTGGTGCAACTAATTCAGTCACTGGGGTTCTACTGACTTCTCTTGAACCATGCAAAGAAGTTGCTTCTGGAAGAACTTGCTTCTTGTATGGCTGCTCCATACTGGCTTGCTTCACTGATGGTGAGACTAAAAATTACACAAGAGAATAAGGACTGACATTSTGGAAGGGCTAACTGGTCCACGCTCAGGATGGAAGCCAGAAGCCAGGCATTGATAAAAAGGAAATAAAATATTTATGACATCAGAAACTTCCTTTCCTCATGCAAGAAAAAATGATCCAAACGATATAAACACATGTTTCCTAGACACAAATATATTTAAACTTACAATCATACTCTAAATTAGTAAATTCAAAAGAACTGCTCCCATAAAATACAGTATCAGAATATAAGTTAATTTTAAAGAGAATGAACAACAAGCACCAAAAATATAGTCAGAAATAACATCTCTAAGTAAAGGCTTCTTGACAATTAACATCTCAAGTCAAAAATCTACTAACTTCTGCCTTGTTCCTCAATGAACCTAAAAATACCTGAGGTCTGTGGTGYTCCTTTATGAATTCACAGAGCAGCCTGTGGATATTTCCATGTTAATATGTACCTGCATTCATTTTTCTTCAGAYCTTAAATTTGTTCATCTAATTAGACTTTAAGCAATTTGAGAAAGAACGTATCTATTATGAATTTATATAATGCCTTACACAGTAAGTCCTCACTTTCAGGAGCTGTGGCTAGCTACCACTGCGATAAAAGTTAATCCCTGCCCAAAAGCTAATAGACATGCAGTTGAGCTGAGAATAAAGTTAATATTCAAACTTGGGAAGGAAAATGCTGGTTTATATTTAGCTGTTTCTTACAGAAAATCTGTTATTTGAGTTGACAAATGAATTAAAAAAAATGGCAAAGAACATGTATTAGCAGATTCCTGTTAATAATAACAAATAGGACAACTTCAAAAGATTACTCACTTTTGTTTATGAACAGAGGGAATTGCCAACATTTTAATCTTCACTTCTGAAAACAAATACTGTCTGTACAATTGGTTTCATAGTTGATGGTTACTATGGTTATTTTTTGGTTCARCCAAGAAGAGATAAGCTTATCTGTCACAAAGCAGTACCTTCAGATGAACACTAGAAATGTAATTTATTTAAGGTGAGCCTGATGGTTGATACTCTTTTACAGTTATTTTCACTGTTAGGTCTTCTGTCCTAAGGCAATGGGAAGAGCTGCCTGGTCAATACTCCAAATTACARAACTACTACACTCATGGTCCAAAACAAGAAAGAAATAAGGAAGAAGCGTGATACAGAGGCAGTTACAATTGCTTTTTGGCATTTCTCTCCAGGTAATACACAACCACACATCATAAAATTAACACAAACGAGCTAAAGAAGTCCCATCCAACACACCATTTCTATAGACTGAATGTTCTACCCTATTATAGAAACAACAGACCATAAAATGATTATTCCCCACCAYAGAGTATATTAATATCAGGCTTTAGCTTTTCATCGTTGTTTCTCTTGAAAATGACAGAAGCTTAGGTAGTGGCAGAATTTGAATAGTTATCACTTCTAAAAATCTCCAAAGCATGTGACATGCCAGATAGATGATCCAGATTACTTGAAATGCATCTAATTTCTGTGATAAGAATCTGGCTGGTAATCGACAATAACATTATCTGGCACTGTTACCACTGTTAAATATTCAGCTCCGCCTGCCACTACTTTTTCCCATTCCTGCATGCCACTCCTTCCTTCAGTTGTRACATGAAATGCATGAAGCTTTGTTTTTATTTTTAAATAAAAAATAAAACCTTGGTTAGGTTACAAGGATATCCAACCTACACAGCACAGTTTGCAAGATACTTTTTAAGAGAAAAACCCCAACAGAACAAAATGYAACCAATAAGAACAGGATATCAAAATATACTGACAACTGATACAGTTGGAGAATCATAGTATTGCCAGTTCATCACTCCMTTAATTCTCCCTATGAACAGATTATCCTAACAGATCTTCACTGAATACACCAAATGTATCTGTTGCATGTTCATATCATCAYCTTATGTAATTCACCTTGGCTTTTCGACATTGCCATAATTTTCTAGTTGTACACATATATTAATAGAATTTTTATTTCTAATGATCTCTATCATCTCTATTCTTTCCATAAAATGACATATATGATGTCATTCAGTTGCAGTGTGCTAAGGTATCAAGGATATTGGAACCATTTGGATATGATAAGTATAGAAATGTACTTWATTAAATAATCTCCACATGCATTTGCTGCAATGAATCTCTAAATGGAGTTAATGAAATTAGCTGTTTATCCAGATGTCTGTTATCCAAATAGTACTGTTGGATTTTTCTGCGTTGTTCTAGTATCTGACTTTTTCTGCTTTTATTGAGTAAATAAGCTCTGACAGATGGTTCTCACATGTGACATGCTATTAGTGGCCCAAGCTTAGCATAGCAATTTGCTAAAATTTTCTAAGAAGTCTAATGGATATATACTGGGACTGGCAGGCCTGAGGAGAAGGAATTTTTCCACTGTTTGGGTATGAGTCATCATTATACATTTCTGCAACAAMTAATTTACTGCTCCAGTCTCAGTAATTTTCAAATTTAATCAACTAAACTGGTAACAAGAAGAGGAAATTAGGTTTTATGTTTAAAAGTTTAAAAGAATTTGGACATTGAACTGAATTGAACAGTACAGCATGTTTATTCCAATTACTTTTCTTATTTGACTGAAAGCTTTTAAGGAAGATATTATACATACTTAAATTTTCTGCAGCAAATAGAGATAACTGGTAATCAGACTTCTACCATCATAATGGCAGCATCCAGACCAAAGAATGCTTTAAAATCAGAACTTCATTTCAGAAAGCATCACATGGCATTGGAAACTCTGTTAGTCCAATGCTGGTCCCAACACCATCACATGGAGATGGGGAAAACACATTGCAAAACTTGAGAAGTTCYGCAGAAGAGCCAACTTTCAGGTTTTAACTCTCAATGCTCAACACATGCATTTTAGTTTACAGAGTTATAGAACACTAACATAATAATTTATGATTTTGTTTTTTTAGGGCAGTAACAGAATTAGAGCCAAATGTCAAAAGGCCTGATTTTTAGTATGAACAAGCAAGCAGTGCCAAAAGAACGGAATTTAGCAAAAAAAAATTAACTGTCCTTCAGAAACAACCTGGTAAACAATCCCACTTGATCAGCATTAGAGATACAGCATTAAACTTGAATTTAACTGTTTTCTCACTGTTCAATGAAAATCTTGTTATTAGTATCATGATAAAAAGAAGATATTCTGAGGCTTTTAACACTGCGGCAAACACTACTTCAACATGCAATCACCATAAATCAGTAGTAGTGGTAACACAGAAGAGTTCAAGATTTTGATCAGATCATTTCTTAAGAAATAACACTTTTATAACCAGATTGTTTCAAGCTCTATCTCAGGGAGGTRTGAGACATCTCTCTCCCAGAGTGAAAGGACATAATGACATTTTGAACAGGAAACACATATTTTGATAAAGTGGCAAAGCAATGGAAGCTTGTTTATAGTATGTAATTGATAGAAGTTGGATGAGTCTGTGTAAATATTCTTGTCTATTCTGTTCTCTAGAAAGGTCAGAAGCATCTTCTTTACTATTTTTAATATTTTTTTTCCATTTAAAAAATAACAGAAAAGTTGTATTTTGCAGGGTGCTGCCCTTTGCAAAGATAATAAACATCTGAGTAGTTCCTTGTAATGAGCAGTACAACTCTTTTAATRAGAATGACAACACAAAATTTTGATCCCCATCAAGTATAAGACTTTTTTTTCCCCTGTCCCGTGACAATTAACTACAGCTTGCAAATTACTATTCTGATTTGATAACAGCAGGCAGGTTAAAAAGATAGCACTATTCACATAYTTCAAGAGAAGCAATCAAGGGAATGGAATTTTGTTCTCTCACTTCTATGGCTATAAAAAGGAACAAAGACCTGACAGGCCACGTGTTTAGCACCATGTAGTGGTTTGACTTTGGATGGATGCCAGGCACCACCAAAGCCACTCTCTCACTCACCTCTGAAGATGAGCAGAGAGGAGAACACACAACAAAGGGTTCAGGGATTGAGATAAGATCACTCATGAAATACCATCATGGGCAAAACAGGCTCTAACTAGAGATATAAATTACTTTATCACTAACAAAATCAGAGCAGAATGAGAAGTAAAATAATACCTTAAAAATACTTTTCCCCCCTATCCCTCTTTCCTTCTCACCTCCACCTCCTCTGCCAGCAGCACAGGGACACAAGGAATGGGGGTTATATTGTTTCTCCCACTGCTCAGGGAGCGTCTTTCCCCTGCTCCAACATGCAGTCCCTCCCACAGGAAACAGTTCTCCACAAACTTCCAAGGCAACAGTTCTCTGTGAACTGCAGCRTGGGTCACTCTTCCATGGGGTGCAGTCMTTYGAAAACAGGCTGCTCCAGCRTCGGTCCTGCAGAGGGTCACAAGTCCTACCAGGAACCTACTCCAGCATGGGCTCCTCTCTCCGGGGGTCTGCAGATCCCTGCAAGGACCMTGMTCCAGYGTGGGCTCCTCTTGGTCTTTATGAGGATCCCATGGAGTTGCAGCCTCCTCCCAGGCAACCACCTACTCCAGCCCGGGTCTCCYCCATGCAGGTGGAATTTCGCACCTCCATTGACCTCCATGGCCACAGCTTCTTCACCATGGGCTGCACCATGGGCTGCAGAGGAATCTCAGCTCCGTGCCCTGAGCACCTCCTTCCCCTCCCTCAGTGACMTTCAGAGCTGCTCCTCTCACACATTCTCATTCTRTTCTTTTGTRGTCAAAATTACAACTGCTCAAAAARTTTTTTCTTCTTCTTAAAACTGTTATCACAGAGGCACTACCACCAATTCAAACTGGCCCAGCTTTGGCCAGCTGCACTGCCATTTATCAGAGCTGCCAGGGATTGGCTCTGTCAGACATGGAGGAAGCTTCTGACAGCTTGTCACAGAAGCCRTCTCTGTAGTCCTCCCAGTACTAAAGCTTGGTCATGAAAACCCAAAACATTCTAGAAAAAATAGTTAAAAAGTAAGAGCATAAMCACTCTAAAAGAGTTAAAGAGAGAAAGGAGACTGGGTGGCTGGCTACAATTTTCTCTTCAAACAAATATGATCGAAAATACAATATACAGTCATGTACCAAAAAAGCGTACAAGTCTAGTGCTCTGATTCTGATATTCTCATTACACATCACAGAAATTCCCTTACAAAACAATATTCCACTCAAGCTGGGAGACAAAACTCTAAGCAGAAAGAGCACTAGGGACAAKACCCAAATTAGAATTTGCTCCATAATATAATTCCACGTAGCTGGGTGTGAAATTTTCTACTACTTTTTAAAGAACAGCTTGTCAGGTTGAGAAATAGTTCCAGCATGGCATGAACTGCTCAACAAATCAAGAATTGTGCAAGTGTACTTGAATCCTGGCAATCTGTGGCTGATAATGTGACTGATAATGGAAGGACATTGAGAGGASATGAGCACTCTGCTCATGGAGTTTAGGAAGAATACAGGGAGTGACACAGGTTAACTTYAGTTAAGCTGAAGTTTTCTTAACCCAGGAAGGAGCTGTGGATGGCCTTTGTTCTTCATAAAGGCTGCACCAGTTGAGTGGATCAACTAGTTGTGTTAAGTGGCCTTAGTTAATTGTGACTCTGAATGCAATTCTGTGCTAGCYAGACCAGCATGGTTTGAGCCAAATAAGCAACAAGCAAAATGAACTTTCAACATAGTGATGGACTTGAGCTGGCTTTAACYCACCCAGACTTTCACAGTAACTGGAGACAGCTTGTGTCATGATAGTTCAGAGACTAGTAACAGGAGTCACAGCTGTACTGTCACCTGTGTACTACAGACACTCATTCATGATGTGACTGCTCATGTAAGTTCTGCTAAGACTTTGGCTAACACACAGCTCATTCTAAGGCCTATGGTGTCCTGGGAGTGGTGCCATGAGGTCAAGGCGAGAGCAGCAGGTAGGCAGGACATGATGGACAGAAGGGTTAAGGTAATTTTGCAGCTGTCATCACCTATAACCTGCTATCACCTGAAGCCATAATCTTTCCTTAGTGATTGTCTGGCAGTTGCTTCAGAATCTACAAACTTGTAGAAATAGTACTGACCAAACTTCCAAGTTGGAAGGCATACATATGTCACATGCTCCTCTAAACAGTAGAGAGATAAAGCCATCCACAAGTTCTAAAAGAGAAGACAGAACTGTAGCTAAATATTTTTATAATGAAACAGAATCATAAAGAATAGAAGTTCATTTAAAGTCAGTTTTTCCTGATTATGCATCACTCCCTAGAAAAAAAATAATGCAGAAGTGATTGTTTACTATTTCTTTTGAACCAAAATTCTCAATCAAACCAAAATTCTCAATCAAAATGCTAGTGAAATGAGCAAACAACACACAATACAAATACCGATGTTATTAATGCATTGCAAGACACTAAGTTTAGAGTCCTAAATGCCAAGTAACAAAATAACACTAGAATAACAGGATTAAACTAAAAGAGCAAGAATGACATTCATGTAGTGACATGATCAGTCATTACAAAAAGCCCTTTTAAGGTAATCCTTCCAAATAATCATTGTTTAAATACACATTTCTCTATCATGGCCGAACAAGCATGAGCAAAACTAGCTGGGACCCATCAAATTCCAATGAAGTATATTGCAAGTACACTGTAAGTAAGGGTATCCCTTTTTGCATTATTACACCAACCACCTTCAAACATCTGCTCCACTAAACACAAAGAACTGTCAGCACATCAATACTGTCATCTGAAAGTGATGTCAGAGAGAGAACCCAYCAGGGAATATGCCTTCCAAAATTTTTTGTTGTGCAAACTGTGAATGTACTAGGGATGAGCTACATATATTTTTTGAAGTGAAGCTATTAAAAAATGTAAGCAATAAAAGTTGTATCATTGTTTGTGTAAGCTCAACATGTAGCCTTGGGCATACTACCTGGAATCTTATGTAGACTGGCATCATCTGTTATGTCTGAATCTTTGTCAGCTGGTGTCTTTTCTGAGGCAGGTTCTGGCAACTTTGAGACACACTGTTCAAACTTCGGAGTCACTACAGTATAACGAAACAGCTCTTCATATTCATCCTGTTGCAAAGAATTATAGAGATAAAGAATCATAAAATTACAATAACATTTTTAAAAGTTAGGCATATGTAAAAAGGTGTGCAAATTATTTCCTAAAATTTCAAGAGGCTTCTTTTATTATTATGATGAGAATTAAGAGGATTTCCCTTAAAGTTGCAAAAGTGAGCTTTTTCCTACAGCGATTATAATAATTTAACCTTCTCTTGTTTAATGCTCGCTTATCTTCTGATTACAACTAGATGCACTGTAACAGTTACACAGAAACATGCTACCAGATGCCAGAATTGGATACTATAATAAGCATCTAAAACAAAAACAAGAACTGGAAAAAAACTCCAATTCCCGATCATATGAGTTATTAATCACCTGATATAATTTCTAATCACTACCACTAGTGCTTCAAAGAAAAACATGAATTTTTATCGCCATGACAAMGATGCTACTGAACACAGCAATACTTCACATTCTGCAACACTACAATTTCTTTAGTTGAAGTTGTAAAGCCAACCATCAAAAGAAGTTTGATTATCCACTCTTTTGTTTAGAGTAGATATAATGATTCTCACATTATATTATTTATTTTTAAACCCATATGTGTACAGGGAGTGTGTACATATAACTAAGAAGTTTTCCTATGAAGTTATAAACCTATCCAACTGGAGTGTAGCRTAATACTGTGAACCAAAGTAAATTTTAATGAAACAGATTTTCAGGATGAAGGTATTTAGTGTCCATTGTGAAACTGTAAACAATCTGTATTATAACTTAAGTATACAATCCAGTAATTAATTGGACAAGTTCCAGCAGCAGTTACATACTAAAACCAATCAAATCTACTAATTAAATATCTGAAAAACAATGCCTGTTGGAAAATACTAAACCAGGTCATTAGCAGTCATTTTTTCTTCACTTAGTATTAATAAATTAGTTCTGTTCATTTTCCTAATGAGGTCACACCTCAGAAACAGTCTGAATTGAAAAACTAATTTCCTCTTCAACCTGGGGAAAGCWAGATTTAAAACAATCAATGAAAGCTATCAATGACATTTAATATGTTTTTGAATGTAACAACTCAGATGGATAATACTTCAAAGCTTTCAGTGTAACTTTCGTATTTTTGTGGGTTGCAACTAATCAGAGAATTTAAGTATCTGGGTTTGGTACATAGTAGCTGAATTCTAGTTCCCATTTAAATGCCTGTTTTCYATCTTCTATCACATTCAAATTAAAAGCCTAAATAAATGTATATGAAGCKACAGAATTATAAATACATGATGTATCTTTCGTATAAGGAAGTGCATCACATTCCAGGTAAAAGGTACAGACAGCTGCAAATAAATAAGTTATCAATTTTTCCATAGCCATAACTTTTAAGTGAATACAGTTTAGATTTTATAAGATATCAAAAGAAGAAAACATATCTTTGGATCTGTTATTCTATCAGAAACTACATGGAAACATACAAAACTCCCTGCAGCAAAATTTCAGCTGAGTGAAAAAGACAGTAGTAGCCTCAATTAATATAAATTAAATAGCTGTGCAGAAGACAATAGATCACACTTCATAGATCTTCTTCAAAGAGATCATATAAGTAAATAGCAACTTGAAACTAATTCTTGCTCATAAACAAGCTAGTTCTCAGACAGAGCTGATCCAGCTGCTTCTGTGATTATTTTAGTCAATTCAAAGGACATAGTAGGTTAGGTATCAGGTACAAGTTGGCAGCTCACTTTGAGTCACCTCCCTTATTCACCAGGACACAAACTGTCCTACTATAAATATGCTTAGCGCTCAAAATATATGTATAATATTATASCAGGAAATTTCTTCCAAGTTGCAACACTTTTATTAAAATCAAAGAGTCCACTCTGTATGGGAATGCACTCGCTTATGTGCCAACAGAAAGTGTCAATAGACGGCATCCAGTGACAAACCTGGAAGTAAATGTTTATAAGTTACAGCATTACAACACTGTTGAAATGAAGTTGAAAGGCAAATATTAAAGAAAGCACAATATCCCGGCAGTTACCAAAAATTTAGATATACACAAAAAAAAAAATCCTGGAGACAGCAGTGGGAGTATGTATGGAAACATGGAGTGATTAAGCGTTATCACCTACCATAATAAGTATGCTGCAACTGGAATGCAATATTGACCAATACATTCAAAATAAAACCATAAGAAAATAAAATTAACAATATATGTTTCGTTTACTTTCACAGTTCTTCTTTAAACAAAATTTTCAAGCGGTTTTGTCAGCTGCAAACAATTCTGTTAATGCATATAACTAGAGGAACATAGTTCCATGACCTGAAGGTCAGTGGAGTTTTGTTCATTTAATGCATACAACCCCATTTTGTAGATGTAAATATAGTGATGCAATGAACAAATGGTGCAAAATTATGTCCTGGTTTTACTCAGTCCGATTTTTGGTGGTGGGTGGAYGGGACCAAAAAAAWACCAAAACCCCACAAAGATGGCTCCTGYGACAAAGTTCTAGAAGCTTTCATCTTCTTCTCCAGCAAAAGAAGCCCTGCCCCCTGTGTTTTAGAACCAATGCATTGTGGCTCTGAGGTTGATGGACAGGCTGCTGSTCRGRCCTGGGCCAATTGCACAGGYTRGTTACACCTCTGTGATGACATATTGTCTTGTACTTAARAAGAATTCAAAACAAGATAKAATGCAGCCGCCATTTAGTTTTTAGGYTGTTARTATCATGCAGCAGGGGAAGACAGARGAGGAGGGTGAGGAGATGTAAGAAAAAATGGAGACCCARGATCATAATATGGAAAAGACAGGTACTGTTGCTTTTTTTCTTGCTGTGGTGCTCGACATGGAGAAAACAAGCTATTCTCGAAAGGACTATTTCTTCAATGGGAGGCCAATATAGAAAAGAGAGGCCCTACATCCAAGATAAAAAACCTGGCCTTTGAGGACTGGACTAATCATAAACCAAAAAGGGGGAAGAGGCTTGGCCCCTGCCTCATGTCTGAAGCAAGTTGACACACAGAAGAAATTCTGTTCTGCCAGGAGATTTGAGAGGGTGGCCTTACGCCACTGAAATGAAGTAGCCGGCCTTGGAGGACTGTTTTCCTTTCACCCACAAGGTAAAGAAAAGAATCCCATGCCACCAGCAGTTATACACTGGCTGTTTCTTGGGATAAGAACTTCCAYAGCTTGAAGCTGGAAGGACTCTTCTCCCATGGTGCTGGACGRTAACCGTAATGAGTAGTTTGATCCGTGTCAAAACTTTCATCCCTGCCCTCCTTGCACACAGGAAGGCATGGAGGGGTGGGGAGGGGCGACCTGCAAGAGACAGGTTCACAGAAAAAATAACAGGTGTCTTAAAATGTCTCTTTTATTTCTTCTCCTTGTAAATTTTTCCCCATGTCTGTTCCCCTCCCCGGTGTGGTAATATTCTTAACAGTGTTTAGTAATAAATCTATTTTACAACTTAAGTTATTCAGCCTGTTCTGACCATTTTCTGGAGCATATACATATCTTTCTCGCAATTATGTTATGTTATCTCAAACACATAAATTTCAGTGTTAATTGGGCTTTTGCTCTTCCTTCTGTCTCTCCAGTGTGGGGGGGAGGGAACATCGGGGCTGCTTTTTGGCTTTCGGTCAAGGTCAAACCACGACAAAATATCGGGGATTTTTTTGGTAATATGTTCCTAATTTTTTTAAATAAAAATCTACTGATACAGCAAAGATTGCAGTCACGGGTACTAAGCAATATGATAAGAACAGATGGAATGGATAGTGTTGCACAATCCAGTTATAAGTAATGGAAATTTTCTAAGAGCCAGTGGATTCTCTGTAAAGAAAAGGTAATAGTCTGGTTTCTATTTAAAAGCAACACATTATCAAAAAGGCCCAACCAAGTAAAACAGAATAGATCTTCCAGAAAGATCTAAAAGGAGTAGAGTATTTCCCTGTAGCATTCCTATTGATCAGCTGTGACTCCAGAGTTCTTCTTACTCAACAGTAATAAACTCCTGCAAGGGGCAGCTTTGGACTTCGGGCTTGTCTAGTTTGGAGAAAAGGAGGCTGAATTGCCTCTTTGCTCCCTACAGCTTCCTGAGCAGGGGAAGTGGAGATACCCATCTCTTCTCCCTGGAATCRCACGATAGGATGCATGGGAATGGTTCAAAACTGTGTCGGGGGAGGATCAGATTTGACATTAGGAATCATTGCTTTACTGAGAGGGCAATCAAACACAGAAATGGGCTTCCTAGGGAGAGTAGTTGATGTCCTGAGCCTGTYACCRTTTAAGAGGCAATGCCCTTTAGTAACGCTTTAACTTTCGRTCAACTGCAAATGGTCAGTTTGCCCAATGATCAATGTAGGCCACGTCCAGCTGGAACTGTTCTACTCTAGACATGTTCTCATAACAAAACAGTCATTCATTTGACTAAGTTTATTATTCTGTATAAGGTGGCCTTAGAATCTCCTTGATTATCAACTAGGTCATAACAAAAAACTTTGGTCCTTAAATTTCTAGCATGATGCTTTTATCTTGGTCTCTGACTGCAAAAAGCATTGGAAACACAGATGCATTACTATGCCTACACAAAGATTATGAAAACTTATCCAAGAGATATGAGTGAAAATAGAGAAGTACATTGGCTGCAGAAATTAATTACCTCATAAAAAGGTAGTTTAAAAGATACAAGTCAATCCCCATGATAAAAAATAAAAAAGAAAATCCCTTCATTAAACAGTGCTGCTGTTGTATATGCCCATTTCACCAGGTGACAAATGTAGAGGTGCATTTCTACAGGGCAATTGGCAAAACATGTTATTGTAGAAACTATCCTAGTTTGGATTGTATCCTATCAAAGGAAAAAAAAAACCCACAACCCACACACAATTAGGAAGAACAAAATATTAAATGATAAAAGTCTACTGCTTTCAAAAGAATAGTACTAACACTTTATCCAATATCATAGCATCCTCTTGAAAGAATGATGAGCACAGAAAAGGAAACTCCCCAGTATTACAGGTCCAGCATGTCCTGACCTTTGATGCAGAAAATAAAGAAAACCAAACCAAAAAGGAATAACTTCCTTTCTGTGATTTACTTGGCCRTAATATCATTCCAAGGGAAATAAATCCATTAAAAAAAATTCAGTTCTTACAACAGCACATTRTAACATAGTAACAGTTACACTTCCTCTCTCCAAAATAATGGGTTTCTATCCTACTGTGTCAGATTCTGGCTTCTTCATAAGATTTAATACAAATGAAGAATAACACTAGGAAAAAAAAAAARGAATAAAACAACCTATTTTATTTGCAGCTGATCAAACTCTTAGGTTTAGATAATAATTTTTGCATATATTTCTTGTGAAATGCACAAAAGGGAATCTAACTGAACATATTTTAATAGCAGTTTCTTGGCTCTAATTTGTTTCTTTCACTAAGATTTTTATTATTTTTCYGTATATGTAAAATATAAAAAAGATACACATTTAGTTAGATTTCCTTGTAATTATCTTAGCCAAATAAAATGCCATGACAGTAAATCAAATTATATTGCCTCTTTCCTACCTGAGGATTTGAAGAAACAGAACTGTCCTGAACAGAGTCTTTTGGCAAAACTGGACTTGTGCTTTTCTCTTCATCTGATGACATTCTGCACAAAGTAAGTCTATAAAACAGTAGAAGCTGAACTTCATTTTCCAGTTTCAGTATATAAATATATATTCACCAACATTTCCCCCAGAAACAAATATTCTGCTGGATCAATGACCATTCTGTGCACTAAACTGACTGAAGAGTCTCATTATATAATGCTAGGTAGGAAACAACCCAGAGCAAACCAYACTCAAAATCATGGAAATACTTTCATTCACTTATAAAAAAATAAGAAAAGACCCCAAAGCAACAATGCCAGTTGTTGTTACAGATACAGTCCTGTGTCAATCCCTCATTCTTACTCACACTGTATTGTTTTYGAGCTTATCAGCTTGTTTCAGAACAAAGTTTTAGAGTGCCACATAAGAATGCATAAGCTACACTGTGCCCATGCGCTAAATAACCTCAACCACAGCCCAAGAGATGATGCCCTGAACACTCCTGTTCAACACCCTGAAGCTTAGTGGTCAACATGAGTCTCCCACCTCTTTTTTGACTTACAGAGCCAAGAAGAAGAACAGATATGAAAGGACAAGTAACATCTTAGGTTAAATAAATGTCAATTATTCCAGCAATTTCTAAACTAGACAGTGAGGCATTCTTYGAATATTTGGGAAGTAGACGATATTGAAGAACAGATTAGAAGCTTGAAGACCTCGTAAAAGATTTATGTGTCTCTTCATGTACTACAGCCTGAATAGGTCTTCAGTGAAGGACTTAAGCCCTTGTGATAAGATTTGACAGAGTAACGGGAAAAGGACYCTAAAGGATATTGGGGGGAGGGAAAGAAGAAAGAAATTATAAAATGAGGGGGARCTAAGTATAAAGCAGGGTGAATTCATTAATGAATGAACGGCAGAGTAGCTCCCTGATGCATATGAAAGACAATCAGACACATTGAGCAGGGAGTTGTCAGGAGAGAAGGCATACCACCATAAATAACCAGAGGAACTCACTGACTRTACAATGTAGYGAATAACTTGCAAAGAAAATTTATTTTTATAGAGAGCTTTACAACTGTCAATTAAAATATTCTCTGTTGTTTTTTAAACAGGTACATTTTCTGACAGAAATGTAATATTTAAATTGCTACTTGTACATTAAACTGGCAGGAATATGCTGCTTAAACATCATTGTTTCTGAAAGCATAAAAACCCCATGTARTTCTCTGTATAAGAATACAGATAGGAAATAATAATACTTTAGTTCTTTGAGCTGTTCTAGACACTGATTCTTCCTGCAYCACAAAAGCTCTCTCTGCCATGGATAGTTTTGCACCTTTCTGAATGGCAGGCTACTTCTGTGCTGATGATGGACATTTAAAATTGTATAAAGACAATTTCAAATGTTGAGATTTCCTGCAGCTCAAGGTTCAAAAGACATGTTTACCATCTTTCTACTGGGCTATCATATACTAATCACAWTTTTTAAGTACAAAACGTGAACTCTAACAAAGATTTACTTATTGCTGTATCTGTGTGTAGATGACAGAAGAAATACTACCTTCCTCAGCTCCTCTTTTTTCAYTGCCTCCTGCTCTGACAATTTTCCTCTTTCCTCTGACATGAATTATTCCTCACAAATACCCTTGGCTTTAGGCTCTCTATATAATGAGAGCTTCAAGTTTAATTGAGCTCTGGCCACAGCAATTTTCTCTCTGCCATGGAGGGCTGCATCTCTGAATTTCTCCCATGTAACTTGACTTTGCTTCCACTGGGCACATGTTTTCCTTTTTTGTCTTTGCTTCAGAAGAAGATCCCTACTCAGCCAAGCTGGCCTAAGAATAACTTGTCTGCTTTGATCTCAGTGAACAGACGCTAAGTCCCACAAAATACTGGATGAGTTTCTAAAAGAGAAATCAACGGATATTATGACACCACCTCTGGGTCAACAAGCTAATTTGCTAAGCTTCAAATCATTATATGGTGAAAGACAAGTGAGAACATCCTCAAGCTTATCATGTCCTTCTAAACTCACCCAAGCATCTGCCAAAACATATGTCTGACTTCATAAGATTCCTATTAACTGCAGTAGTTTCTTCCAAACCATAAGCATACAACTRCAAGAATAAGACTGCTACTTTTAAGAAACAGGATACAATTTTAAAGATCTTGGTCTGACTCACCATGGTTGCTCTCTTCCTTAATTTTGAACTAATTAAGCTGTGCTCAGGTTTTTGTGGTTTGGGTTTGTTTTTAACTAAAGGTGATGCTTTCCAAATAATWTAATGTTTCATTTGGATCACAGGACTCAACACCTACGAAAGAGAATCATGTAGTGGGTAAGGTTGGAACAGACCACAATGGGTCCTCTGGTCCAAGCTCCCTGCTTAAGCAGGGTCATCRAAGAGCACATGGTACAGGATTGTGTCCAGATGGTTCTTGAATATCTCCAGTGAGGAAAACTCCACAAACTCTATGAGCAATCTGTTCCAGTGTGTGGTCATCTGCACAATAAAGAAGTTCCTCCTCATGTTCAGGCAGAACTTCCTGTGTATCAGTTTCTACCTGTTATCCTTTGTCCTAATGCTTGGCACCACCAGGAAAAGCCTGGCTCCATTGCTTTGGCACCCTCCCTTCAGATAATTACAGATATTGATGAGGTCTTGTCTCATTTTTCTCTTCTTGAGGCTGAACAGGCCCAGCTGCCCCTGCCTTTTCTAAGCAAGATGCTCCAATCCCTACTCATCTTTGTAGTCTGCTGGACCCATTCCAGGAGCTCCATTTCTCTCTTGTCCTGAGGAGCCCAGAACTGGACACCATACTCCTCCACAAATGGCCTCACCAGGACTGAGTAGAGGGATAAGCTTACCTCTCTTGACCCTAATGCTYCCAGGTCACCACTAGCCTTCKTGGCCMCCAGRACACTCTGCTGTCTCATGGACAGTTTGTTGTCCAAGACCCCTGGTCCTTGTCTGCAGAGCCATTCCCCAGCAGGTCAGCCCCAGGTTGTGCTGGTACCCCGGCTATTCTTYCCCAGGCGCAGGATCCTGCATTTGCCTTTGTTTAATTTCTGACAGTTCTTCTCTGCCCATCTGTCCAACCTGTTAAGGTCCTTCTGAAGGGCTGCACAGCACTCCAGGGTATCGGCCMCTGCTCCTGGCTTTGTGTCCTCAATGAATTTGGTGAGTCCTCTGACCCTTTATCCATAGATGAACAAGTTAAACAGTTCTGGGCCCAGTACTGAACCTTGASGAACACTGCCAGTGACGGAAGTATACCACATGCCAGCAGAGGCAGGACACATTCGTTCCCTTCAGCTGTAACCCCTACAAAGCACCACTCACGCTTCATCTCCTCACTACAGCACCTCCGCAGTGCCGCCGACACCGCCTGCGCCGACACTGCTGCCACCGCGGCTGCCATGGCAGCCAGCGACAACAGGGACAATCCGCTGAGTGCTCCACAGGCACCAGGGACGCACAGGGGTGGTCAGGCAGCAGGAAACACGAGAGATTATGAACTGAAAATTTTCCTTTTCCTTTCTTAGACAGGGTTTGTAAGGCAACCAGCCCAAGCACCCGGGGCAGGGGGTGCCCAGTGGCACCCTCAGGAAAGTCGGGGTGGGGTTGGGGCGGCAGTGCGGCCCCTGGGCAGGGGTGCTGTGGGAAGGACGGCGCGGCCCCGKGCCCGGTCCCCCCCGCTCACCTGCGGGCTCCGGCCGCGCCGGCCACCGGCACCGACGGTTTCAAACTGCCGGAGCGGAAGAGGAACCCCCTCTGCGATAGGCTCAGGGCGCCTTTGCAAAGCACCCTCCGATTGGGCGGTTTGGCGGCGAAACAGCCAATCGAGTTGCCAGATGAGGGGCGAGGGCTCGCCGGCCCCGCCCCCTGCCGCTCCTCCCTGCCCGCCAGGGGCCGCTCGGCGCGCTGATTGGCGGAGCGCTCCCGGGGCCGGTGCGGGGCGGGCGGGCTGGCGGCGGGGGCGCGCGGGGCGGTGCCGGCGGGCGGTCACCGGGAGGGACGCGGGTTCGAGCCCCGCGGCTCCGCCTTCCCGGTGTGCGACCCGTGCCGGCCAGAGCAGTGCGTGGCCCAGGCAGTGCCGGGAAGGGGACTGTGCAGGCATCAAAGCTTTGGTTTGGCAAGGTGGGGGACCCCTCCAACCCTCCGTGTTGGAGAGCAGCTGCTGTTTGGCATTCCGGTGGAGAATGACGAGTAAAAAGAAGCGAAGAGAGATAATTCCTTGGCGGAACTCCTTCATTCTTAAACGCCTCTGTCTATGCTAATCATGAAGTTATAGAACGTCCCCGAGCAGGGGATTTTAATAATTTRTGCAGTACTGCTGCAGGAGCTCTTGGCTTGTAGTTTGCAGTATTTCTCTCCAAGGCAGGCTTTCCATAAAACCTTGTGTAGGCAGACAATCGGGATGGATTCGGGAGCTAAATCCGGCTAGCCCTGTGGCAGRGCGCTGTGTCGCACACCCCGCCCGAGGCAAATGACTCCTTGCTGCCGTCTCAGGGCTATAATAGAAGAAACACAACATCAGGTTTTAAAGATTTTACCATCAGACATCAAGGACTTCGCTGGTGCCACAAGCCTGATCGAACTCCATAATACAAGATTGTACCTTATATTGCACCATTTTGTCTGGTAACATGAGAAGGATAGTTTAGGCATAAAATATGCAGGCAGACTCAAAACTGTAATTCAAAATTTGCTTTTTATAAATGTTCACAACAATACATATATCTTGCTCTAAAATCTTTTGGCTCTGTGAAACAGAGCAAGTAAGGAAACCATCACAAAATTTCACCTSTCTTAGAGGCACTTGAGTCTTCCTAAAGTGAGCCCTTTTCCATAGYAAAATTCTACTTCAACATCTGTTAAAGTTCACATTTAGACAAAGTGGCAATCGAGGGTTGTTTTTAACTGCAGCATCTGGTAAGGTCTGCATGATTTGATGAGTAAAAACTCCAGCCTGAGGAGTCGCTGTGCAGTCAYTGTGTTCATTAAGGCCTACAGTGACGTTTGTGTTAAGTTTCCAGAAAARCATAATGGAAGGGCTGCATTTGCTGATGGATTTTAGTAAGCATGAAGGCTTGTGTAGTTTCAGAAATACATATTTTAAAAATCAATTTGGTTGCAAATATCTATGATAAGATCTTCAGTTACAGTTAAGGTTAAATTTGGGGTAAAAAGGAACTGCATTTTGTAAGGTCTGCAGGAGAATTGGCCTCAGAGCTTCTCCGGTTCCTTTTTTTGGGTGCTGAACTGAACCTGACATTTAGCTGCAATCACATATTGGTGACCAATGTCCACACCAGAGCAAGACATAGTTTATTTTACCTTGCCACAACTGGCTTTTCTTAAAGGTCAGATGAAGGAGGATTTTGTAATGAACCAAAGTATTTCTGGACAATGGGGAGTGGGATTCTTACTGTACCCTGACAGTAATGAATTTGTGGGATTGGATCATCCCTAAACTCTAAGACAAGCTTCATGAGAATATTGTTAGTGACTGACTGAGTTGGCCTCCATAGCAAAGGGCAGGAGCCACAGTGGCATTTGTAGTCATGAAGCATGGCAAGATGTCTGTCACAGGATCTCCTCTACACATGTTTGGTGTTTTAAGAGGTTGCACTCAGCTAAGAATGAGAGAGAAGATCTTCCAAAGACCAGCTTCAGTTCACTCAGTCCAGATAAGCCCTACTGACCCTTCTAACTACTAAAGCAACCTCGAAATTTACCTTTTTTTTGGTGTGTGTTTCAAATAAGGTCACGAGAAAGCAGAACTATTGCAGTGTTAGTCTGGTGCATGCTAGTGAAAAAGAGCACATGTTTCTTGTCTCAGACTTAAAAAGTTATTTATGAAAAGGGAGAGACATATGCTTCTGTCATGCTTTTCATGTTAATTTGTATTGCACACTGCTGGTGTAAAAATATGATGATTCTTCATGAAATAGTTTTAAAATACATAACTCTCATTGGCACATCAAACATAGCCTTCAAATATGTGTTTAGCTTTCAGTTTTACATCTTTAGGAAAATGCAGACATTTGAAAATTGAAGGAGTTTGCAATGGATACTCAAACCAGTCTTTGTGATGCAAACATCTACTGCTACTTTGTAATTATATGGATAAAAAGCAAAAGGGGATCAAATGGTATCAAGCTGATTACTAGTATAAAGGGATAATTGTAGGTAGTTAGAGAGTAACAAAATGACAATAATTACCCTATTCCCACACTGAGGATTTTATGGAGTATCTGATAAAACCTTCTGTTGAAACTTTCTGATTTCAAATTGTATTTAAAAAATACCTTCCATCTTTTATCTTGGATTTTATTGTACAATAGAATGTACAATTATTTTCACAGAAGGAAGGAGATTTTTCTATGCTTTTATGACCACAYGTGTTCATCTGCTGCACTAGCCAAGCAAATGCTGTAGCAGTTATTGAAGCCGGGAAAAGTATGGTTGTCTGTGTAGACTAAGAATCATTTTTGAAGCAGATACTGTTCTGAGCTTTTTTGAAGAAAATGGGTAGAAGTGCWGCAGGAGGTTGATTTAATTTAATGGCATTCATATATCTAATATCAAAAAGTCACCTCTTTTGTCCTTGAAACAGTTTTTGAGAAATTCAAAGTTAAAATAAACAACATCCAATTTAAATGAAACAATAATGAATATTTAGTGCTTTATGCAGTTCTATAGGTTGCTGAAACACATTTCCAGTGTTTTCTATTTCCCCCTGGTATCTATCATGATTGTGGGATGGAAAACCAGWTATTTTGTTATAACTTAACTGTGGATACTGGAATGTTTGTTGTTTGACTCTACCAGATTAACTATTTGACTGTTTGCTGTGTGAACACCAGATCTGTCTCCTCTCATGTGTAGTRCTGGAAGCAGCTCTGGCTTCTAGGTAGATCTGTGCATTGTACAATGTAGTGTCACCACCTCTCTTCTGCTCTTCGGCTCGAAGTGTCTCAAAAAGAATTGTTGAGTATCTGGAGGCAGAGAGCCAGGCAGAAGGCAGTGTTTGAAGCTGTATCTTTTAGGGCTTTTCATTCGAGGGACTGTCACATTATGGCTACTGCTTTATGCAATGACATCATTGTAATTGTGTGGTCCAGGATGACCATTCTTTTCCCACCACATGAACTAAAATATTAAATATAGATGATTGACAGATCACCTATTTCAAGCCTCACAGTGATTTTTTTTTTTTGTTCCAGCTGCATTAAAAAATGTTTTTCAGAATGCTTGTATTTCATACACAATTGAAATTCTTATTTTTTACAAAAAATAATGTGTAACCATAGTGAATATGGGCAATTGGGCAGTGCAGTTCCAGATACTTTGGAAATTGCTAGCAATTTTTTTCTTGTGATAATGCTGATAGCAGAAAAAAATTTAACTTGAGAATAATGAACACCTCAKTGTTCAAGGGCTCTACCTTCTATCTATCCCCCTCTTGCCTTGTAAAAATACTCTTCTGAGTATACTGTCTCTTATATGAGGGTTTCTTTACCAGAAAAAATCTAAGAGAATTCTAATTAGTATTGAGAGATTGAAAATAGTCTGAAATCTAGTTATCTGAAAATATATTAACTTTTAAATTTTTTTACAGATGGATCAACTTATAGTTTGACAGACACAAAACAATTTTGAAAAGCCTGTAAATACTAAAGGCCCAGTKAGTGTGTTCATATATATTTACAAGTTTCTCCCACGGCATTTGCATGTTTTTCACTCAAGTAAGTGTTTTGACATCAATCAGTCATCAGTCTTTTTCCCATCAGTGACAACCTATCATGAAAGAATTTACRAAGAGATTTTTCATGAATTGCAAGGATGGTTTTTCTGCTATAATGACTTATTGACATGTTCGATTAAGATTTTCAGTTACATGGAAAAAATTGCTTGTCTTACAGTACATTAGGTAACTATATATTCACCTGCTTTTCAAGCTTCTATCTTTTTTCCAGTGTGATACCAAAACAGATCTTTCAACACTTTTTCCAAAAAGCACTGGGAAWATTTTTGTGTTTTTTTTCTCCTTTTAAACTGTAGAGAACAGGTGAAATCTCTTCTAATAAGATATTAAAAGATAAACATCCCTAGAGATCTTTCAGTGACAGGGTGCACATGTACAATGTATTTGTAATRACATATTCAGCTGCAGGGGCAATAGAACGCCACTGTGCTGTAGAGTATTGAATGACTGTAAAAGGCAAAGCATCAGCTTCTTCCAAGACTAGCATTAGGACTTCCCATTGAAATATGCTATTGAAAATCATATCTGAAGAATGAATTCTGGGTTTGTAATTGTTCCTTGCAGCAGCATACAGGGTTTTAAAAGAAGGTATTAAAGAACCCCCCTGTATTTCTTACAGGAGCTGGCAGCAATTGAACTGTTCTTGCTGGAAACAAGTAAAAGATTTTTCAAGCTTGATTGTACTAATGATCTGTGCCTATGCAATCTTTGTAAATTAAAAGCGTGGTATTTATTGCCACCTTTAAGAAATATGCACACTGTTATTTTTTTTACCACTTTTAAGGAGTTCTTTGCACAAAGGAGTATTAGGCAGGTTATTTAGATGATGTTTCCATTATAAYGCATAAATCCTTTTGGGAAATGAAGTGCAGGAAAAGTTTGAAATGGTTAACGTGCAGCAGACATTCAACATTCTTGGCTTCCTCCAAGAATAGCCTATTTACTTGAGTGATTGTATAGCAGTCAAAACGTTTTAGCATCTCTTCA